TCCAATCTAGAGCAACTAGACACGTGAAATTTTGTCCAATTCTATCAAGGATCAGTGGCTAGAAAAGGGCCAAATTTTAATCTAAACCGCCTGCAGGCTGATTTTCCGGCAAAAAAATCAAACTTTTTGTTGAGCCTGACAAAAAAGTTCAAGCTAAGCCATTTTAAAAAAATGTTCACGTTTAATCTAGAGCAACTAAACGCGTGAAATTTTGTCCAATTCTATCAAGGATCAGTGGCCAGAAAAGGCCCAAATTTTAATCTAAACCGCCTGCAAGCTAATTTTGCGGCAAAAAAACAAACTTTCTGTTGGGCCTGATAAAAAAGTTCAAGCTGAGCCATTTTCAAAATTTTCTCACTTCCAATCTAGAGCAACTAGACACGTGAAATTTTGTCCAATTCTATCAAGGATCACTGGCTAGAAAAGGGTCAAATTTTAATCTAACCGCCTGCAAGCTGATTTTGCGGCAGAAAAACAAACTTTCTGTTGAGGCTGACAAAAAAGTTCAAGCTGAGTCATTTTCAAAAATTTCTCACGTCCAATCTAGAGCAACTAAACACGTGAAGTTTTGTCCAATTCTATCAAGGATTAGTGACTAGAAAAGGGCCAAATTTTAACCTAAATCGCCAGTAGGCTGATTTTCCGACAAAACGCAAACTTGCAGTTGAGCCTGACAAAAAAGTTCAAAGTGAGCCATTTTGAAAAATTTCTCACGTCCAATCTAGAGCAACTAAACGCGTGAAATTTTGTCCAATTCTATAAAGGATCAGTGGCTAGAAAAGGGCCAAATTTTAATCTAACCGCCTGTAAGCTGATTTTGTGGCAAAAAAACAAGCTTTCTGTTGAGCCTGACAAAAAAGTTCAAGCTGAGCCATTTTCAAAAATTTCTCACGTCCAATCTAGAGCAACTAGACACGTGAAATTTTGTCAAATTCTATCAAGGATCAGTGGCTAGAAAAGGGCCAAATTTTAATCTAATCCGCCTGCAGGCCGATTTTCCGGCAAAAAAATCAAACTTTTTGTTGAGCCTGACAAAAAAGTTCAAGCTAAGCCATTTAAAAAAAAATTTCACGTTCAATCTAAAGCAACTAAACGCGTGAAATTTTGTCCAATTCTATCAAGGATTAGTGACTAGAAAAGGGCCAAATTTTAACCTAAATCGCCAGTAGGCTGATTTTCCGACAAAATGCAAACTTGCAGTTGAGCCTGACAAAAAAGTTCAAAGTGAGCTATTTTGAAAAATTTCTCACGTCCAATCTAGAGCAACTAAACGCGTGAACTTTTGTTCAATTCTATTAAGGATCAGTGGCTAGAAAAGGGCCGAATTTTAATCTAACCGCCTGCAAGCTGATTTTGCGGCAAAAAAACAAACTTTCTGTTGAGCTTGACAAAAAAGTTCATGCTAACCCATTTTCAAAAATTCCTCAAGTCCAGCCTAAAGAAGATTGCACATTTACGTCAGGCTCATTCCTTACGCTCACTTCACTCTACCAGATTTGCAAAATAAAATGCCATCGCAGTTTATACCGATTTTTTATTAAATCCCCAAACTTTCAGCTCAGACTACCATGCAAAACCAAAGCTTGCAAGTCGACATAAGTACCTACTTCCAAAAATTCCTCGTTTCTAACACAGAGTCGCCACACAGTTTTTTTTCCGGTTTGTAAAAGAGGATAATTCGCTTATTCAAACCTGGTAACTTTCAAGCAAATCGCAATTCTGACTGATTTTTCAGATAAAGCATAAACTTGGAAACGGACGGATGTGAAAACCCCATTCATGTGTGGTCTGCCAGAAAGTCTTTGATCAATTTTTAAATTAAAAACTAGATAATGAATATAAAAAAATTGTGCGATTATTGAAACGGATCAAACTGTTGGTCAAAGTAAACATCAGCTATAAAAATTAGTGCTGCCTAAGTAAAAATGTAGCAAAAATTACGTACTTACCAGTGCATGTGTATTTTTACGACTTAACGTGTGCTTCGTTTCCAGTTACTTTGTGCAAATAAATTGAAATAAAACCAATTAAGGCCCGGTAGAGCCTTAAAGAGAAATTTCTGGATATGAGCTGAACCACCCAGTATATGCGTATAATATGGCTAATTTACAATGAATGCAACATTAAAATGTTTTTAAAAATTGTTGTTCTGCGACCTTTAGCACATCCGGGATGCCGCGCTTGAAACAATTGTTTTTCATGTGAACTAAACAGGCGTTTTTAACCAAATTACTTCTATTTTTGGGTCCGAAATCCAGTCGGTTTCGATTGGGTTAAAGGCTTGGATTGATAAGAATGCAAGATAAGAGACGATCTGTTCCCATTTAAATTAGAAACACCATATTTAAAATGTTCAGGCTTTTTATAGAATTGTTCGTAAACAATTGAGATTATAATGAATTGCGTGTATATTTTGATCATTCGCATTGAAAAAACGCACCATTGAATTTTAGGTTTTCAATGGTTATGAGCCGCGCTGAACAATTTCATTTGATTGCTTTAAGGAAAAATCACGGCGCTAATGAAAATTAGCGAATCCAATTAAAGAATCGATTTCAGCGATTAAAAATGTTTGAATAATAGATGTGAGTCGAACAGCTCAGAACTTAACTACAATTAAAAATCGAAGCTTATCCAAACAACACAAACAAGGTGAACTTAATGGGGAATTGTTTAATGCCCATGAAAACCAACTGCGCTCATTATCAGACTGTTGTTTCGATTCAACCTGTGGTAATTATTCTATGGGTTTTATGAGCCATTTATCCGGCGTTTTTATGCGCTTTTGAGAAAAACCAATTTACCACACACGGCTATTATTGAATATTGCCAAATATCCCAGTAGCAAAATTAAAAATTATTGCCTTCTGATTTGTGGCCGTAGCACATTGCGATTATTTATTTAACGCTAACACACCCCACTATGAATGGAAATTGTCCAATCAATTTTGCTAGACGTTTCTCTTGCTGCTGTTGCAACCATTTTCATGTTTTTGATCTAGATTCGCAACCGCCACTTTATATAAATACAAATGTTTGTTCAACAGCAATCCAACTTTAAGCGGAATCAAAAACTTGGATCGGAAAATGTAAACATGGCAGCGGCACTTCATCACATTACGATGTTTAAGTACTCTGTAAATAGATTTTAATCGAGCGTTTATTTTGTTTATAGAAAATCATCATTAACATATCAATGGTAATTGTTTTCAATAGCCGACGAGATTCACATGTGTTACATGATATGTGCTGTATTGATAATAAAGGCATCAACGATTTGGGAATGTTCGCTCGGAAATTTCAATGGATTCGTTGATGTTGACCTTGCATGTTGTGGGCAATATTGTTGAAGTTGTAAAGACAATGGTTGTTATTTAAAAAAAAAACGGGTTTTTAATGATAAAACTGTCGAATATTTGCCCACACTGGGATAAATTTCGTCACATTTCTGCGGTGATTATCATTCCAAGTGCACATTCTCTACTCCCCGCTTCCGGCCATGTCGATCTTCACTCTCTTAATTTGCAGATTTTTTCAGGGCGTATAACAATGCACTTTTAAACCCATTGGTTGGACAAGATTTAAAAATTTAAAATGTCAATTTTCTGAAATGATTCGTGAAAACGGACGATTCCTCAAGTGCTTGTTTACGGACAAAGCTCAGTTTACTCGAAATCGAATTAACAATGTGAGAATAATCATCGATGGTCGCCGGAAAATCCCCAAGCTTCGCAAGAATACAATTTACAACGTCGATTTACTATTATTATATGCTGCGGCATTCTACATTTTTTGTTGTTGGGTGTTTAAGATCGTTAGAGGAAATATTGGAGGAAGTTTCTTTAGATATCACGCATAATTTTAAGTTATGATAGACGGAAAATCGTTAGGCTTTTTCTAAGAAAACATTTCAGAGGTGGCTGGATGGCCCACCATTGGCCACCGAGATCACCAGATCTGACTACCCTGAATTTTGTATTTGGAGATGTATGAAGCCAAAAGTACAAAAAAAACTGTAAAGTAGTGCACTTTTTAAATTTAAATTAAACAAAGTATCACTGAACCAAGCAAAAATTGGACTTGAGGCCCATTTCGACTTTCCAATATGCTCATTTCCTCCTGCATCGCTTATCATTAGCCAAGGAAACTTAAAAAAGCGATAACCAGCCATATATTTATTTGGCTCATAAAACCGTCTGATTATATCATTTGATCATTGCAAAGCAATTATTATTCCTACCTACTAGCTCAGGATGCGACCAATTTAATAAAATCGCCTCACTTATATTTCCACTATTCGCCCAGACACTATCGATATAAATCGCTTACTAAACTGCAGTTTAGAAAAATTCGCACTTACTTCACCCAACGAAACGACGCAGTGTTGGCTTCGCATGTAAAACATTTCCGAAAATGTCATAAAACGATTGTTTTATTGCACTTAATTGGGCATAGTAGGCATCAATTCAATAACAAGTATATTAAATTAAATGACACGAGTTTCAGTGAATGCCAAGCAATTGCAGAGTCAAATGGAAACTTCAAATAGGTTAAAAAGATTAGTAAATTCGCTTGAATATAGAACAAGAGCATTTGAAGGGCTGCCGTAAAACGCTTTAGTCCAATTTGAATTTAAACGTGCTTAAAAGTATCAAACGAAGCTTAATGAGAAAATAGTCAGAAAGACGTACAACTGTAAATTTATAGTTAAAAATAATAATAATAAAATGCAGGTTTCAAGAGTGTATTTTTCCAGAGTAAATTCAGCTGATGACGATAATTGTTCTTGTAATTCAGGAACTAAATCGGCTTAAAACCAAAAGTTCCTATTGGTACATATTTTTTGTATAACCTTCAAACACTGAAGGCAAATGTGCAATTTTATTCCACATTGACTAAATGCAGTATTTATTCGGTGGAAAAACACGGCCAAATGAAAGCGAACAATATAGAATATCGCAAAATTCAACAAACTTCTAACCATCCACATATCATGAGCCGATGGATCAATTACTGCACTGATATTGTTTGTGCAATAAAAGCATTGAGTAACTGAGAGTTTATCAGTTCCTGATTGTTTGGGTTTAGCGAAAAACTATCTGCTAATGAATAGTGAACTGCAGGTTAATATTTACTGTAGCGGAATACTGATTACTTGCATCTGCTAGTTAGGAGGGGTTAAAAATGAATAAAAAAAAATCATTGTGAGGCTTATTTTAGAGCTAGAGTTATGAAGCTAAAGCATTGAAGATACAAATGTTGGGTTTTCTAACTGAAAAGCCGCTGAGATGTTGAAAACTATTTATTTTAGAAACTCGTTTATTATTATTAAATTTCTGCTCATTCTCGCCCAGCGCTTTGAAGGCAAATTTAGACTGAATTTTAGGTAAATTATTGAGTTAAGTGGAACTACCAAACAAGCGTAAAACAAAAACCCCAAAACCAAGTGCATCTTAAAAGTCTATAAGTTAAATTAAACAAAAGTATCACGTGTATGTGCCAGTGTATGTTTTAGAATAAAAGCAACAAAAAAATAACACCAGGAAACCGGTGCGCTTTTTCGCGACGTTTCGCAAGCACGAGAGGTTTGCATCTTCAGAGGTTTTTCACATTCTCCACGACGGCCAAAAATCCTCAAAAACTCACCAGTTTCCAGCAATGGCTGCGAAAACCCAACTGTTTTGTTAATGCAAGGAAATTTCACAGCAAATGCAGGAAATGTGCGTTGTCTTTCGGAGCTCACATTGAAAAAGGCTTGGTCAAAGACATTCATATATTATATAAAATGTGTGGATTATTGCCATTTTATTCACGACTTTTTCGACTGTTTTCATTCATCAAGTTTTTCTTTTGTGGCCGCACTTAAAAGTCCGCATATCTCAAATCTGGCCCTTTCGGAGGCCCAACCAACCGCAAAATTTTAAACGGATGTTCCCCGACTAGAAAATAACTTTGAAACTTTATTAAACTTTGCAAAAATTGGACCATTTTGGCTCTTCGATAATTACCCAAATCTGGTAGGCATGCAGATTTTTTTAACACCTGTTAAGACCATTATCAGAGACTGAAAAAAACATGTCGACAAACATTCAAAAGTAGAAACGATATAATTAATAGACAAATCACAAAAAAAACATTTAAAAAAATTGCTACCAACCTAACAATGGTTTGAATTCAAAGTGAACAATGGCAAATCCGTGAACGTGCACAATTCTTTGGTTTCACCAGTTTCAAACACGGCAAAACAGTGAATTTAAACGTGCTTAAAAGTATCAAACGAAGCTTAATGAGAAAATAGTCAGAAAGACGTACAACTGTAAATTTATAGTTAAAAATAATAATAATAAAATGCAGGTTTCAAGAGTGTATTTTTCCAGAGTAAATTCAGCTGATGACGATAATTGTTCTTGTAATTCAGGAACTAAATCGGCTTAAAACCAAAAGTTCCTATTGGTACATATTTTTTGTATAACCTTCAAACACTGAAGGCAAATGTGCAATTTTATTCCACATTGACTAAATGCAGTATTTATTCGGTGGAAAAACACGGCCAAATGAAAGCGAACAATATAGAATATCGCAAAATTCAACAAACTTCTAACCATCCACATATCATGAGCCGATGGATCAATTACTGCACTGATATTGTTTGTGCAATAAAAGCATTGAGTAACTGAGAGTTTATCAGTTCCTGATTGTTTGGGTTTAGCGAAAAACTATCTGCTAATGAATAGTGAACTGCAGGTTAATATTTACTGTAGCGGAATACTGATTACTTGCATCTGCTAGTTAGGAGGGGTTAAAAATGAATAAAAAAAAATCATTGTGATCCAATCTAGAGCAACTAGACACGTGAAATTTTGTCCAATTCTATCAAGGATCAGTGGCTAGAAAAGGGCCAAATTTTAATCTAAACCGCCTGCAGGCTGATTTTCCGGCAAAAAAATCAAACTTTTTGTTGAGCCTGACAAAAAAGTTCAAGCTAAGCCATTTTAAAAAAATGTTCACGTTTAATCTAGAGCAACTAAACGCGTGAAATTTTGTCCAATTCTATCAAGGATCAGTGGCCAGAAAAGGCCCAAATTTTAATCTAAACCGCCTGCAAGCTAATTTTGCGGCAAAAAAACAAACTTTCTGTTGGGCCTGATAAAAAAGTTCAAGCTGAGCCATTTTCAAAATTTTCTCACTTCCAATCTAGAGCAACTAGACACGTGAAATTTTGTCTAATTCTATTAAGGATCAGTGGCTAGAAAAGGGGTAAATTTTAATCTAACCGCCTGCAAACTGATTTTGCGGCAAAAAAACAAACTTTCTGTTGAGCCTGACAAAAAAGTTCAAGCTGAGCCATTTTCACAAATTTCTCACGTTCAATCTAGAGCAACTAAACACGTGAAGTTTTGTCCAATTCTATCAAGGATTAGTGACTAGAAAAGGGCCAAATTTTAACCTAAATCGCCAGTAGGCTGATTTTCCGACAAAACGCAAACTTGCAGTTGAGCGTGACAAAAAATTTCAAGCTGAGCCATTTTCAAAAATTTCTCACGTACAATATAGAGCAACTAAACGCGTGAAATTTTGTCCAATTCCATGAGGGATCAGTGGCTAGAAAAGGGTCAAATTTTAATCTAAACCGTCTGCAGGCTGATTTGCCGGCAAAAGGCAAACTTTCAATAAACCTGACAAAAAAGTTCAAGCTGAGCCATTTACAAAAATTCCTCAAGTCCAGTCTAAAGAAGAGAGTACATTTACGTAAGACTCATTTATTACACACACTTCACTCTACCAGATTTGCTAATTAAAATACCATCACTGTTTATGCCGATTTTTTTAAATCCCCAAACTTTCAGCTCAAACTGCTATGCAAAACCAAAGCTTGTAAGTCGACATAAGTACTTCAAAAAATTCCTCATTGCTAACACAGAGTAGCCATGCAGTTTCTTTTCCGGTTTGTAAAAGCGGATAATTCGCTTAGTCAAACCTGGTAATTTTCAAGCAAATCGCAATTCTGACTGATTTTTCAGATAAAGCATAAACTTGGAAATCGACGGATGTGAAAACCCCATTCATGTGTGGTCTGCCAGAAAGTCTTTGATCAATTTTTAAATTAAAAACTAGATAATGAATATAAAAAAATTGTGCGATTATTGAAACGGATCAAACTGTTGGTCAAAGTAAACATCAGCTATAAAAATTAGTGCTGCCTAAGTAAAAATGTAGCAAAAATTACGTACTTACCAGTGCATGTGTATTTTTACGACTTAACGTGTGCTTCGTTTCCAGTTACTTTGTGCAAATAAATTGAAATAAAACCAATTAAGGCCCGGTAGAGCCTTAAAGAGAAATTTCTGGATATGAGCTGAACCACCCAGTATATGCGTATAATATGGCTAATTTACAATGAATGCAACATTAAAATGTTTTTAAAAATTGTTGTTCTGCGACCTTTAGCACATCCGGGATGCCGCGCTTGAAACAATTGTTTTTCATGTGAACTAAACAGGCGTTTTTAACCAAATTACTTCTATTTTTGGGTCCGAAATCCAGTCGGTTTCGATTGGGTTAAAGGCTTGGATTGATAAGAATGCAAGATAAGAGACGATCTGTTCCCATTTAAATTAGAAACACCATATTTAAAATGTTCAGGCTTTTTATAGAATTGTTCGTAAACAATTGAGATTATAATGAATTGCGTGTATATTTTGATCATTCGCATTGAAAAAACGCACCATTGAATTTTAGGTTTTCAATGGTTATGAGCCGCGCTGAACAATTTCATTTGATTGCTTTAAGGAAAAATCACGGCGCTAATGAAAATTAGCGAATCCAATTAAAGAATCGATTTCAGCGATTAAAAATGTTTGAATAATAGATGTGAGTCGAACAGCTCAGAACTTAACTACAATTAAAAATCGAAGCTTATCCAAACAACACAAACAAGGTGAACTTAATGGGGAATTGTTTAATGCCCATGAAAACCAACTGCGCTCATTATCAGACTGTTGTTTCGATTCAACCTGTGGTAATTATTCTATGGGTTTTATGAGCCATTTATCCGGCGTTTTTATGCGCTTTTGAGAAAAACCAATTTACCACACACGGCTATTATTGAATATTGCCAAATATCCCAGTAGCAAAATTAAAAATTATTGCCTTCTGATTTGTGGCCGTAGCACATTGCGATTATTTATTTAACGCTAACACACCCCACTATGAATGGAAATTGTCCA